CAATGATTAAACCCAGTTTGGTCAGCTTGTGTTAAAGCTGTGATCTCTGAATTCTTGCTGTAAAAGTTAACAAAATTGGAAGAAAGCAACAGCTTTGCCAACATCACCAGGATATGGAGTACTCCTCCTGGGCACTACATTTCAACTCTCCATAATTCCAACAATTTTGGCTTTGCTTACCAATAACGATTTAATGACGCTTATTTATATTTACCAAGGAGGGAACAGAAACCACAGAACATTCACAGCCAACTTGCTAACCTCCTTGTTCAGCGACTTACAAAAACAAAGATGCATTTCCAAGGTAGTGCTCTTATTTGTAATATTCTCAGTCCCTCTCTGCCATACCCACTGCCTTTAAAACACGTACCAAATTCCTTAAAACTCAGTTTCTGTGAGCCTGTGTATAATCTTATAGAAAGCTTGTAACATCTTTGTTAAACCACAAATCTAAATTTCACTTGAAGAAAATTATAGCGTGCCTTCTGGTTTTTTAGCATATTCAAATAGTGAATATTAATATGACTACTGAAAAGAATAGTTACCAAAGAAATCGTGACCTAATTTTCTCTATTTATTTCTTAGCAAGAAGTTTTCAAATACTGTTTGTGCCATTTGAGCCCTTTTGGAAATCCTGAAAATATTTTTCTCCGTTTGTATACTGAAATGTGTAGCCTGCAGCTTTGTGCCACTAAGTCTTTCAAACAGACATATGTGTACAACTAAAATAGAAGCAAAAACAATGTCTCAATAATCACAAGGATTTACCCTCTGTTAAAATGTTGGACGTCAGCTACACAAAATACCATAGTATTTTATTATAGAGATGTAAAATCATTCCATACAGTCTTCCAAATATCCAACTTGTATTTCAGACACAGATACCAAGAGGGAAAAAGTCTCCAGCTGTCTAGAATTCTAAATTCTCTCATTTGTACTGTCATTTAACATAAGACAAAATTTAAGACCAGGCTTTAACTGTTTCCAAATGATTTTGTGTATGTTTCTGCTGAAATCTTTAACCATTATCTAGCACCAGAATTCTTAAACAACAAATACACCCACAGTTTTCCTTTAATTTTGCATTCAGACATTTTTCTGTTGAATGCTTGGTATCATACATTAATCAAGGTAATATATGATAAATACTTAATGACGTTGAGAGCAAAAGGATCTTGGGCAAATTGCGAGTACGAATGATTTTAAGCATTGATACACAGAAAACTCTTAATTTTGTGGGGAAATGACTGTAGATACTGTAGTAGTAAAAATAGACTCAGATTATAACTTTAACTCAAAATCTCCGAAGAAACTATTCATCCTTTGAAACAATCTCACAAAAAATAAATATGAGCTTTACCAAAGAAAAAATTCTCCACGCACAGTAGAAACGTGAACCTAAGTACATGTGGGAAATGCGGAATATTGCACTGAAACAAAACAGAAGGGGCTTAAAAGTCTTCTCTCTAATCCTAGCACGTGTTAGGCTTTTTTTTTTCTGAAAAAGACATAACATAATGCAAAAAGTAACTCAGTTTAAGCATTTCTTTCTATGAGTGCTACAAATGCACGCAACCTCCCATGGGACTTGTGAGGGGTGTAGGAGCATACGTGACCGATGAAACACTTCCAGTCGATAACTCAGTTAACACTCCAAGAACTTTGCAAGCCCAGGCGAGCTGATGTCTCCGTTTGACCCACTGACTTAAGCCTTCCCTCTCAGAAAGAAAATGCTTTATACTGGGGTAGGCTGCGGGAAAGGGTAAACATCTGTTTTGAAGGAGAATTCGGCAACAAAAATTAAAAATTAAGAATTTTAGTCCTTGTTCTAAGTTGCTTTATTTTTCCATTTAAAGATTATTGGAGCATTAAAGTTAATAGAGAGGCCTATGAAATAACTTACTATGTAGGCATTTTACCCTTTAAAGTAATTAAGGCTATATGTTATGGTGCAATTTACAATAAATAAAACCCCCACCTTCAGTGATATATCAATAATTTATTGTTTTGCATAAGAAGGTAAGATCAGATTTCAGGTAAGACATCAACCAAGGACCTGATGGCAAATTCAAGTATAGAGCTTGATACAATATCAAAAAATACTACCATTTGTTTGACTATGGCAAACAGCTAAAACACAATAAAAACATCTGGACTTGACTGTCAAAACATACAGTTCTCTAAAAACCCACACAGCACAACTTGAATATGTGGAATATTGGAAACATGTTTCGTTGTCTTCATTCCCAAATTCTTAGGAGTCAAAGGAACAATCACGTGTGTCCCCCCCTGGCTTGGTATCCCAGAACAATTCAGCGCACGGGCTCAGCGTCCGTCACGATACGCAGGCTCCTGTCCTGTTGAAAATGTCGGGCTAAGACATTTTCCTGCCTTGACCTACTGTCATCTCTGCCTGCTTCATGGAGGCAGTGGCTTTGGTTATTTAATGTTTTTTGAAGCTAACACTGCAATAATGTTGATTTTCAAGAGCAATCTATTAATCTAACTAAATCTATTTCTCACTCCTCAAAGACTCCGTGCACTTTTTACTCTGTTGGTTGGATTTATGTTTTTGTGATTCCCTTTCTTTTGCAGGTGTTACAATTCAGGAATTAGCTCCTGGCTTGGAGACGGGGCAGGCAGCCATCCGTCTAGGAGACTCCTGCCAGGACTGCGCTGAGGATCAGAGGGTCAGTGTCTCTGCAAACACCGCTTGCGGCTGCCCAGCACAGCGAACCTGTTGTAGAAGGTCCTCCTAGACCACACCGACCTGGGAATGGGAATTAAATTAATTTCAAAAGGACGAGAAAAACAGCCTGCAGGACAGCCAGAACTGTTTCTACCAGGGAGTTCTCAGATTATTCTAGCATCTATTTCTTAAAGAGAAAAGCAGGTCCCTTACGTGAGCGTTATCGTACGCTAATGTTCTGAGACAGCTCAGGTCAGGAGCAGTGTTAAGAGTGTTTCAGTAAGGACTAAAGCCCCTCTTGTTGGAAACGGCCAGATCCTGAGAGGTGCCGAGTGCCCTCTCGGTTTGGGTTGGTTGCAAGAGATGGCGAGGGCACTCGGCGTCTCACAGGCAAAGGCAAACAGACCCACTGGATTCCAGATCCCCTGAAAAATAGTTTGATTTTCAGTAACTAAAAAAAATAGAAAACGTTTTCTCAAGTCACATAATCTCCATGCATTAATGTAATCAACAAATTCCTATTTATGTTACAAAAAAAGTTTAAGTCCACCAGGAAAATGGTGAAATTTGACAAAAGTTAGATTATAGCTGTTCAAGCAGAGCGTGTATCCGTACTGGGATCCAGTACATCTGTAACTCTTGCATAAACATTTCCAGACTCCTAGGGATTTTGCTGTTGTTGCTTGCATTTCATTTATTTTATACGACTGTAAGCCAAATGCAATGACCCACACATTAAATACGCATTTAGAATAAAACTGCAAAATCTGATGGCTTTATCAGCATATGAACTGAAATAAAATATTTACATGGAATGTTGAGCTCCATTTACAGAGACAGTGTTTCAAATTACAGACTTAGTAATCTCCTTAGTAAATGATCACATTGACAAGAAATTTAAAAACTTAACATCCCTTTTCAACCCTTTCATAAATATATAAAGTTTCACTAAATTCTCTTTTCTTTAAACAAGACAGCTATATTCTCTTTACACATTAACATGAAATAATGGTTTCCTGTTCGAGTGCCACAGCTGTGATGATCTGAAGTCAGCGAGTGCCTATACACGTTCTGTACTTACAAGACATATTCACGACACAACACACAGGTGTTACTTGGTCTTTACAGATGAACTCATTTCCTGCATATCCGTAGTAAATAAAGAAAAATACCAAATTATCTATATTAAAAATCATCTAATGTACTTTTGCTGACACTGCCACATCAAATTTTAAAATGAGGTTTCCAACTGTGTCTGACCAATGACAAGGATACTTTTTACAGTGAAGTCTACAGCATTAATTGATTTTTGGGTGGAGACAAAAGATACGTTACACTACTACGAAGTATCACTACATACTAAACAAGATAAAGAACTGATCTCTTGCAACTGCTTCTCAGATCTCCAAAGTTTCCTTGCTAATTGTTAGAAAATTTCTGATGGGAAAACTGTTCTAAAGGATGCCAAAAATGTTTGAAACCAATTTGAAGGAAAAAAAAAAAGTTACTCTCTACTTTGTTGCTATTCATATCACTTTGCCACTGATTTTACAGAAGATTAATCCCATAGACTTTGAAGTTATATACATAGTAACTCACATTTTTCCCTATTTAAATAAATATTCCCATGAGTTTTCTTTGTTGTGCCACAAAGCATGCGTGAAAATATTTTCAGTCCATGCACGCTCACAGCAGAGTATTTCACAATTAAGCCACCGAATACATCTTTCTTTCCATGACTATGTAAGTGCAAAGGAATACTAAAATCACGCTGTACATGTAAGACATGGTTCACATCTAGAAAAGTAAAAACGCTTATCTTGATACATAATTAAAACTACGATGTCTTCCTCATAAAAATGTTGGTCGCTTTTGCTCATTACTTGGAAGTAACTTCCAAGTGCTGATGTGCTCTTTGTGGGAGCAGTTATACTTAAAACCATCAAAGTGCTGATCTCCAGTGTTAATTAGTATCTTCTGCAAACTCTCCATTAAAAAAAAAAAGCTTACCTTGGAAATACACAGATGATGATAAAGAGGTGTTTGGCAGTTTCATTACACCAGTATTATTAGCTCACTTTATGGAGCATAGTAAGACTTCGGTTTAATCTGACTGTTCTGTCCCAAAATTGTGGGCGGGAGGATTGAAGACACAGGAAAACAAGACCAGTTCCAAGTGCGTGAAGAGTGTACCTGCTGCTCAGGTAGAGTTAGAAAGGCCTCCTACCAAGAAAACGGCCATCGAGTAATGCCTAACCATGCCCCATATTTAGATGCTGAGATGCAGCAGATATTTTGTCTACTTAAAACGTTACGAATGTAGCCAGCTGACGGGAACCCAGAAGGTCTCGGTCTCCAACCTGTCAAAAGTTGTTTTAAGCTCACTGTAAGCTGTAGCGAGGTCATCGTTGACTATCACTTTATCGAAAAGGTGGCCGTAATGGCTCTCCATCACGTGGGCAGATTTAATCATTTCTTGAAAATCTTCTTCCTAGTAAGATCAGCGCAAGACATAGTCAGCCCATAGCAACAGAAACTCATTCTGTGGTAAATGCAAAGCTACTTGCTTATTTCTCATCTCATCAGGAGATGGAAACTGTAGTTTTAATTAAAAAAAAATATAGAAATTACCATTACAAGTGATCTCAGAGAGATCTCACGAGTAGACTTTGCTCAACAGGCAATTCTTTCATCTCCCCCCTTGCAGTGACACAATTAGTCACTGCATGGTAATTACAGAGACATTTTCTGTTAGCAGTACCAGTGGAAAATGTTTCTAGCTGTTTACTTTGATGATACATTTAAAGTTTAACTACCTAAGTCTCAGCTTGCAATTAGCATGCGATATATTACAACGCAGCCTTCGTTCATTTAAGAGCTTGGTAGGAGCTGTCTTCCAATGCCTGCTTTGATCTGGCTCAGTGGATTTCTCTTCAAGTTTGGGGAGGGAACAAATCTTAGGAATTTAATTGTTTACATAACTCTGAAAGATTAAACCCATCCTAACTAAGCAATGCCCTGAAGGTTGCTCTTAAGAATGAATCATAGAATCATAGATGGGTTTGGGTTGGAAGAGACCTCTAAAGGTCATCTAGTCCAACCTCCCTGCCATGGGCAGGGAGATCTTCAACTAGATCAGGTTGCTCAGAGCCCCATCCAACCTGACCTTCAATGTTTCCAGGGATGGGGCATGAACTTCTCTTACACTTCATATACCACAGAACATATTCGTATAGAGCACTATTTCCAAACTATTTCAAATGTAAATTCTACACAGATACAGCCTGTGACTATATCTGTGACTCAGGTTGAAACAAAATTAAAAAAATCTTAAATAACCTCTGAATGAGGGAAAATGATACACACTGTAAATGTAGATAAAAAGTCTAATGATGATCAGCTTTGCTTTAGCTTCAATTAAAATATGATTGCATTACATTTCAAGGAGGTAAATAAGTTACTGTTGGGTAATCTGACCAATATTTTTTTCTGATGACTGGCGAAAAGCAGCATTTTTTACTTGCTTAGATTTTCGTCTTCTTTCTTACAGTGTTCATTTCCCTAGAACATTTAAAAAAATTGCTTCTTTTATCCAGAAATATGGGCTTTTTATTAAAGCAGCATCTACTTTTTTAATTGATGCTTTATACTCGAGCTTTCCCCTAAATTTGGACCCAATAATACACTTGAAAAAAAAGAGAAATTCTTATACTTGAATAGAAACATCTAAGCCCGCATGCAGATTTTTTAAAGGAAATCCACAGCATTATTTCTCACAAAAATACGCTTGCATTGTGGGGGTTCTTCAATGACATAAAATCAGAGGACCACGGAAATGTAAATACCCATGAGCATATTAAACAATGAAAACATCACAGTAAACTTGTGATGTGAGGGAGGTTGGGAAACAACACGATACTATGTGTAAGCCCTGACAAGTACTGTTGATGAGATCCAGTGATGACCTTTATTTTCAAGGTAAACCACTACAACAAAACTCTTAACAAGTTCTCATGTTTTACCATGTCTGTATATACTTACTGTAAAGGGTTTTGCAGTTCCCTTATCATCTTTACTTGAAATAATCTTGGCGTTTTTTCTGGTCTCTCTCAAGCGGTCAAGTGATGGAGGCTTTATAAATATAACAAATGGTTTAAATTCATATGTCCGTAAGTGTTTCACTGTCTGGGAAGAGGAAAGGTTTTAATTAATTAGCTTATTTTGCACAATGGAATTTACCATAATAAAAAACTTTCCGCTAACCAAAATAAACCCATAAAGCACCTCTAGAAAGCTATTTTTCATTTACTGCTATCCGGTCCTGGTGACTGTCACTGATTCATGTAAGGAGAATTTTCATGCGTAAGAAAACTCTCTGTTTCCACACAGGCTGCGGGTAAACCCCATCGCTCCGGCAAAGGCTGGGCTGTGCACTGCGGTGCCACTGGCAGCGGGAGGATGGAGGGGAGGAAACGTTCATCGCATTTTAGTAGGAGTAACACTTTCTGTACCCATGAAAAGTAGTGGGAAAAGGTGTCTCTGATACTCAGTGACAACAAGTCAATGACTGGTTCTCTTCAGTACTCTGTCTCCACCATAAAACTCCTGCTGTTCACTCTTCCTGAGTCAGTCAAGTGATGCTATGTATGGAGTTAGAGATGGGTCTAGTTAGAGAAAGACCTACAATCCAGATTGTGCACAGGGTGAAGCAGGGATGGGATGACCAGCAGCTTTCTGTCCTCTTCACACTGCCAGGGCCCGCAGGAAAATGCCGTGTTGGACAGTGGGATCCCAGGATGGCTCACAAGCCCGGGTCCCCGAGAGAATTTAGTGCTTCACTGGAGAACAGGGCCGTGCTGGACAGGCAGCGGTCTCACAGAGCAGCCGGGCAGTATCAGCCCCAGCAGCCCCTTCCCAGCTCCCCTCATCCCCTGCTGCAGGCTCTGGCTTCCCCAGCCGCTCCTCTGCCAGCGCAGCCCCCCTGCCCTGCTCCCAGGGCACAGCCCCGCAGCCGAAACTGCCCCGGGGACTGTTCACAAGCTGCCAGGGTTCAAAGTCACAGGCTGGCCACCCTTGGAGAAGAAATACTTTGGCTGGGTTTAAACAAACTAGTCCAGCTCCTGGAAGCACTGTGGTTATTAGTAACATAGAAATTCCCAGAGGAACTATTCAGCAGGGTTGAAAAACAAGGTCAACCAA